ATATTTACTGTATATAATAGTCAATATCTATGTACACAACATTTTTCTTTTAATTTAAATTTCTCGTATTACCTATTAGAACTCCCGCTTAATACTTAAAACGCATTCTTCTCTCTCTCGCTCTCTCTCTCTCTTTCGCGCGCGTTCGTTCGCATCTTCTCACCTTGTTTCCTCGCATTCCTCCACACGCACGCCGCGGCACACACTCGCGCGCTAAATAATCTCTTTCGCTTTCCTTACCCGCCTCCATTTTTTTCGTTTTCTCTGCTTTTTCTCTTTCTTTATTTCTTTCTTTCTTTCTTTCTTTCTTTCTCTCCGTTTCACTGTAGCGTTGGGAATGTTACATTACAGCAAGTATGTCGCGACGAAACAGAAATGTCGTTCGAAATCGACCATAAAATTAACGGTTAGAAGTGAACGTAAACCAACGATGTGTTGAAACGCTATCGTTACGAGTAGTAGTAGTAGTAGTAGTAGTAGTAATAGTAGTAGTAATAATAGTAGTAGTAGTAGTAGTAATAATAGTAGTAGTAGTAGTTGTTTATGGTAGTAGTAGCGGTACAGTAATATGTCTCTCTAATTGACGCTCGGATTGTCCCCGAGAATGCGACAATTTTGGAAGAGAAGATACGATTGTTCGAGCCTCGCGGCTCGTTCTTTATAATTACCGATCGTCAGTAACTATAAAAAACAAGCTACAAGGCTCGTATAATCCTGTCTCCTCTCCCCGAATCGTCCATTTCTGTGCAGAAAAGCTGAGCGTCAGTATGGGAGACATTACTGCAGTAATCATCCTTTCTTTTTCGTTCACGGTGGCGCGGTGACGGTCGACGGTTTTTAAACACTGTAACCGAGAAACGAATCGTCGGCGTGGAGAAATCAGATCGGTTCGTTCAGGATAATCGACATCGACGCGGGCTCTCGTTTCATTTTCTTTCTTTTTTTATGCACGGTTCCCACCTCCGGTTTTTCCGGTTCCGTTCGTCGCGCGAACGCGCTTCTGTAAAAATATTTCAGCAACGCGAGTGAAAAAATTGTGCGGGCCGCCGCGCGCGAATCGTCCGTCCCCTAGAAATCGTTGCGCGATTTCTATTGTTCGTTTTTCGTCGGCTTTTTGTTTTGCAGTTCTTCGTCTTCCGCGGCCGTGGTTTTCGCGCGCGTCGAAACGTAACGTGTTCGGAACGATGGCGATCACGTAAAATCTATATTTTTTTCACCGGTTTTTACGTTATACGTGTCTTAGCGTGCCACACACGCCCCGCTCCGGTTCAGCTCCGGTCGCTCGATATAAATCGTTCTTCTAGCTAATTAATTATGTACAGTTGCGGTGTGTGTCGGCGGGTGTGCGCAGGATGGATCGCGCGGTCGCTTGGATCCGCGAAAGTCGTTTCCACGGAAAATCGCTGGATAAGTTATGGAATCCCCGGTAATCTGTCTTCGATTCCGGGAGGACTGTTTCTAAGTGAAATGTTTTCCGCGTGGCGTTTTTCATCAATGAACTAGATGCGATTTAATGAGTGAACGGAATTGAGTCTTAATTCACGTATTCGTGATAGCGTATATTATACAATATTGTGTATAATTTTATAAATAATATTGTGCAATATTATATTGAGTATGTTGTAAAATATAAATACATAATATAATATGTATGTAATAATATATAATATTGCATAATACTATATAATGTTTGTGTAATGTTCGTATAAGCTCTGCGTAAATATAATATTATACCAATATTATAGAATGTAATATTATATGTAATATTGTATAATATTATATATAATATTGCATAATATTATACAATATTACTACCACTACTTATAATATTATATGTAAGATTGTATAATATGATATTATTGTATAACATTATACAATATTACATATAATATTATAAGTAGTAGTAGTAATATTGTATAATATGATATATAATATTGCATAATATTA